TTTTCCTATGACCACACAGTGGATCAGGATCAGAGCTGACTACTAGCCTCCAGGAATTCACAGGCTTTGGGTTATATTCAGAACAGCAGGTATACATGTCTCCCTGGGCATCAAAGCAGGAAAAAGAACATGGGCTGGCTTCTCAAGGGGACCCATAAGGAGTGAAGCTTTGGTAAAAGTGAGACTTGAAAAAGTTCTTCAGATAAAACCACTGGGTTCTATTCAAACTTCAAAGGCTTTGCTCATGGGTGGAGGGGGAATTTGCTCTGGAAAGTTCTTTTATATTCTTTTCTGGACAAGGTGCCATAAGAGTTAGTTTTAGTTTAAATTAGGCATATGTAGAGTAATCCCAGCCTCTGGAACTGCAGGGTGAATAGTAGGAGGTGGAACACCTGAGAGAGGGAATTTGTGTAGGGCACAAGCATCAGCACCCCAATACTTAGATTGCATTTTAGATTGACTTGTCTTCATCTAGGCTGAGTACGGACAGTCAAAAAGCCTGAAGCTGAATCGATTCAGTCTTTGCAGGTTAGTCTAAGTTGGGATTTGCAGTCCAAAATCACAGCAGCAGGATTCTGCAGGTATCACTTGCACTGCATCACTTCCTCTTCTTGCTTCCAGGTGCCTCTGCTATTTATAGTCCATTGTTGCAGCCAGCAGTAAGTTTGAGCAGGGGAAGGGGTGTTTTAACTCCCCTCCCTTGCCCGAGACCCCAGACGGGGTTTGGCTGGGGGGGCAGTCCCTCTCTTGTAGACTGGGCTGCATCCCCAGCTGGGCTTGCCCCCTCAGCCAGCCCTCACTGCTCCAGCTAGGGAGCAGAGGAGCAGGGCAAGAGCTGCTCTCAGGAGCAGACAGCACAGCACAGCCCAGCCCAGCCCAGGGCTGCAAAGCATGCTGGGATGCCTTGGGACTGATTTAACTTGAACCAGGAAGGCCTGTGGGACAGGAGTTTCATAAACCGGTTTGACCCAAATCAGCTAAGTCTGCTACTACATTCAACCAGGTTTATCTTAAACCAGTTTCAGCCATTTTGAAACTGGTTCATGTGCAGCGAGTTTCTGTTCTGTTACAGGTTTAAGCCAGTTTCTGATCACTTGAACTGGTTTATGTGTAACTTCTGTCCCTAGCCCTAGTGTTTTGTTAATAAGTGAATCCCTTTGATTGAAGGCAATGCTTTTGGAGTTCATGCTTTCTTGGTAATCTAGTGCTTAAGGCTTGTGTTGGGTCTGGGGAGAGGACCGGGGTTGCCTGAATCTTCTCACTTTAGGAAGGGCTCCCTGTTTGAAATGGCAAGTGCCTTAACCCCACATTTAGGGCCTTTTATTGCCCCTTGCACTTGTTTTCCCAATATCTGGCATTGTCTAATCGTAACATTGCCCAAGTGTGAGGTTGCACAGGGCACCCTGCAGAAAAATCTCATTTGTACTGTTTCTTTCTTGCTCTGCATGTTTTTAGAATGGGGCTCACAGCCACCCATGTTGCCTTCTTTCTCCCATACCCGGGTTAATCCTTTTCCTGCTCTGCAACAGTAATCAGACTCATTCTGTTGCAAACTTGAATCTACAAATGCTGAGAAAACTCCCTAAACCTCCATAGCCTGTGCTTGCCCAGGAGATGGCCACATGGGAAGGAGCTCATTCCAGGGCAGCTCTTGTGCTGTGCCAGAGCTGAGGGCAGAAATGGGCAACACAGTCCTGGGAACTGCTGTACTTCCAGGAAGTAGAAGGGACAGAGGACACCACCTCTCTCTGTTTTTTCCAACAACAGACTAAGGGGCTGGAATAGGGACTGCGGTGTCCTGGTTTTGTCTTGTACTCCCTGTGTTTGTGTTTCACATAACAAGTGACAGAAGAATTTCTAGAAATCCCTCAAAATGGACCAAACACTCTGGGTTCCAAGAATGTGGTTTAACTTCTTGAGGTTGAGAGACAGTCAGAGCCTGTGGGAGGATTGCAAGGGAAGCGACAGGAGGAAAAAATAGGGAGCAATGGAAAGAGGGGAAGGGTCCTCCAGAAGTTGAAACAGGGTAGGGCTTATCAGGCAAGGGACTTTTTTTTTTTCCTTTCCATGGCTGTATGCTGTTAAACCAGCTATGTGTACCTGTTCCAGTACCTTACCAGAGCTGGCTGTGCACCAAAGGAGGTCTAAGCAATTATAGGGTTGCAGAGTATGTACAGAGTTTGGCTGATGCTTGCCAAACATGGATCCATTGGGGTGGAAGCACGTATAATGACTAGCCAGCCATTTTCAGCCCAGCTTTTCTCTTTTTCCCATCTACAACCATGGGGAGGCATGTGAGAAACTTGAGCAGAAATGAAATGGTTAAGTACCTCTTCCTGTGTGCTGTCCCCAAGCCCCAGACAGGAAAAAGGGTCCCTGCCGGCTTGTGGGAAAGTCAGATTCACTAAAATGCAACATTCCTGACATTATCCCTGGGGCCCTGAGAGCACATCTGGAGCGATTTGGTCTGGGCCTCTTACTGGGTTGGAATAGGGGGTGTCTCTGAGTCTGTCCAGAGGCATTTAAGGAGCTGGAGGAAGTTTGGGGCTTGGGTACATCCCAGATTTCACCTTCCAAGGCAGTGGAGTGGGTGGTCTTTGGGCATCCTCGTTCCCCTTTAATACCCCCAGGCAGTGCCCAGGGATTCCCCTTCCCTGTTTCTATGGTACCAGGGGCAGTGCCACACAATCTTGTGCCACCTCTTTTGTTCTGATGAGATTTAGCTATGTTTTATTTATTCCCGCGCAAAGTCTTCAGTAGCGAAAGTCCCTGCACTCTTTGTGTGAGTGCCAGGGGCCTCAGCCCAGCTCTCTGGGATGTGGGAAAGCAGTGCTCAACCCTCGCTCACACTGCGGCCCGCTCATCAAAGGGCTGCTGCGTTTATAACAAAGCCGAGAGAACGGAATGTAGGCAAAGCCTGTCCAATAGTCAAGCTGAGCAAGGAGGCTGGGCTGTTTTTAACTTCCCTTCTCTATTATTTTCTTTTCTCCTTGGCGCTTTCTGTCTGGAGCTGGCGTTACGTGCTCCATCCTGAGCCTGCTAATGCAATTAAAACATGGACATCTCCACACCAACTCCCACTTTTACTGCTGCATGGACAGCAGGAGACGTGGCTGGGAAGAAACCTCCATCATAGTATGTGCCTAGCTTTGTTCAGGATGTTACGTAGCCCCTATTTAAAGCCTGGTTGATCTCTAGGTTAGTCGTGATTTAAGGCAGCCTGCCAGGTTTGTACTGAACCAGGTTCATGGCCACCTTAAAGCTCTAGTTAGGAAGAAGGAAGGTGTGCACGAAGAACATGGCTCACAGGAACTGTTTCATTCTAGCATGGCAGGCTTACAGTGCTAATCAGTGTGCATTTTTCCTGAATGTGCCTTATGAGATTACTTGCACGTTATGCAGTGTGATGACCCTAAGCCCTCATATTGGATTGGAGCTTGACATGGGATTTCAAGGTGCAAAGGTTCCTGCATGTTCTGCAAGCTGTGCTTTGGGGGACAGGTTCTCCCCAGGTATCCAGAGGTGAAGGGCATTTTACACATCTACCTCCCCCCTCCCATTCCTTAATGCTAAATCTGTGGGCTGGTTTCTGGTTCACCACCACTGTTTACCTTCTATTCTGATGTGTGTGCTCTATTCTGTACTGGACCATGACTTCTTGCAGTGGGGAGTTGGGATTTGGAACAGTCTAACATCCACTGCAGTTAGAACAGCTACCATGGCATGGGGTGTTATGGGCACTACTGAAACAGCTGACATGCATGAGAGACCAGGGCAGGGGAGCCACTTGAGGATCCAGGTAATGACAGAAAAATGGTCTGGATTGTACAGGAATGTCTTTCAGCACAGGACTCATGAGTGCAGTGACTTCTCAGGCCATTGGGCATCAGAAGCCCCCAGAGGAAGAATTAAAAAGTCACATTGCAGTGTGCAGGAAAGAAACTGCCTTCAGGAGCTCTGGGGAGAATGGGAGCATAGAAAGGATGACTCACAGGTGGCACCCAGTGGCCAGAAAGACTCAAAGTGAATGGGATCCTCCTTAGTTAAGAATGATAAAGCATATTCTTCCTGTTTCACTTCACTCCCCTGCTCTTGATCTGACAGTGTTTGTCTGTTTAGCTCACTTAGAAGTGACTAACTAACGGCTGGGAAAAGCCACAAGGGCAACAAGGGTCAACTTTCCAAATCAGCCACTCCAGCCATTCCTTTCTGTTTTATGTTCCCTCGCCTGCTCTCAGTCTCATTTATCACTTGGTCCAGCTGTTTTTCCAGTGGGTTTCCATAAAGTGATAGAAGCACACTGATGAAAACTTAGCAGGCAAATCTTACTGTCACTTTAATGTCATTCCTTTCCCTTTAAGATGACAAGTGCACCCTGCAGTTCTTACAACATTTGGAGCTATGCTTGGCCCTGACAAACCTACCAATGCTTGAGCAATTTCCCATCATTGTACAAAAACCTCTTCTTCGCTCCCTTCTGTTGGTGTTGTTGACTTGAGAGGAGGGTCAGCAATTCCACCCCAGTGCCCCTTGTATAACTTTGTAAACGTTGAACATCCCTATTGTTCATAACTCTGTAGAGCAGGGAGGGGAGGTGGCTGCTGGGCTTGGGGCCTTGGATCTCCTCCTGCTCTTCTAATTTTCAGTTTATTGTTGCTTTAGCCTGCAGAAGTTATTCTGCTTTTTGCAGAATGTTGCCTTCTGCTGATTGTTCTTCTCCTTTACATGTTGGCATCTCCCGGCTGCATTAAAATGTTGTGGGCTAGATAAGGACACCCTATAGCATCTCCTTTAGGACCTTTTTCCAAGCTTGCTTCCCCCAGATCCACTTACTTTTGTATCGCACAGATCAGGGTGACAAACCATTCTGCTATTAAGCAGGGTTTTTCAGTTGGTCTTGTAGGACAGATGCAGAAATTTTAGGAGTTCTTGACTAGGGGAATTAATGAGATTTGTGTACTGATTTCTGTTCTGATTGGGTTGTTTTTTTTCTCTTACAGTGCTCCATATCACTTACAGAGAACAAAGATGTAGGTAAGTGGAGACAGCATCTTCTGTCCTCATCTGCAGACCATACTCAATGCCGCCTCCAACTCCATTAGGGTAATGGATGAGGCAATCACATTTGAAGGTTCTTTTAGAAAGGTGACTTGCCATCCCAAGCACCAACCCCTTTGAGGTGCTAGAAAACCCATGAACCTCCTTGCCCCACACTCATATGTTAGGTTGCGCTCATCCACTCCCACCTGCTGAGTTCTTGGGCCTGGTACCCACCTTAAGATAGATAATCTTGGCCATTTGCTTTAATCGGATGAAATCCCTATCACTTTGCCTGATGGGAAACCCTGATTTTTAATTGTAGTAATGGAGAAGTGGCCT